CTCTCACGAGGTCAGATGTTAGCTGGGGCTGGGGCCATCTGCGGGTTCCAGTGGGATGGGTGTCCAAGGTGACACCTTTGACAAGGCTGACAGCAGTGGTGGCTGGTGGCTGGGGGCTCAGATGGCATTAATGCAGTGCCTGCATGTGGCCTCTCCAGCATGAGCCTCACAGGACGTGAGCTCCCTACTTGGGGACAGACTCCCCCTGAGCGAGCATCTCCAGACAACCAGGCAGCAGCTGCATGGCCTTTGGTGAAATAGCCTCAGAAATCATAGAATGGCACACCCTCTACTCTGGTTTGAAGGAAGGAGACACAGAGCTACCTCCTGATGGGAGGAGTGGCTAGGACACATTTTAGATGCACTCATGGGACCGGAGACATTGTTGCAGAAAACTTTGGAAGATGCCATGTGACACATGGGCAGCTGATGTCCTGGGACATCACGTGCTTTCCTTGTTTCTATACTGTCTAAGGTCTCAAAATCAGAGGCCTATGATTTTTATGATTTTTTTCTAAGAACACAAGATGAACTCCGTTTGGGCAGCCCTGAGCAAGCACACAGGAGGACCACTCGGCTCCAATCCCCCTGACATTCCTGCGGTAGGAAGGCTTGGGTCACGTACTCTGAGCATAAGAAATGGACATATTCTTTCATTCATTCAACCTATATATGTGAGTGACTATTATGTGCAAGGTGCTGGGGGTACAGTAATGTGCAAAAGCAGTTTTGGCCTGGAGCGCCTTACATTCTGATGGGTGATACACTCATTCATGTAAGATGATAAATAAATATTTATTTTTACATAAATACATGTAAAACTGGAACTATGAGAAAGCTATAAAGAGCAAACGTGTAGAGGGTCTGGCTTAGGCCACTCATGACAGGTTTTCCTGAGGAACTGATGACTCTGCTGAAATCCAAGGAGAGAATGGGATTTACCCAGGAGGAGGGGCCAACGAGAACACTCCAAGCCAAGGACCCATAGGAGAAAATGTCCTGGGACAAGAGAAAGACGAATGCAAGGGATTGAGAGAAGGCCTGAAAGGAGGCTGTGATTCGGTGATGCAGACTTGGTGGGGGTGGAGAACCAGGGTGGATTCAAAAGGCATTCAGGACAAGAAACTGATAGGACTTGGTTATGGAGGGTGTATTAGCTGTTTATTGCTGCATAAAAAATTACCACAAACTTAGTGTCTTAAAGCCACATCCATCTATTATCACACGGTATCCGTGGGTCAGGAGTCCAGGCACAGCCGAGTCCTCTGCAAGGCTGCGGTCAAGGTGTTGGCCAGGGCTGGGGCCTCATCGGAGGCGCATCGAGGAAGGATCCGCTCCACGTTCCCATGGCTGCTGGCAGCATTCACTTCTGTGTGAGCTCTTGGATTGAAGGCTTCAGTTTCTTGTTGACGGTCAGCTGGAAGTCACCCTCTGTTCCATGCCATGGTTCTCCCTTACTGTGGCTCACAACATGACAACTTGCTTCTTCAAAGCCAGCAAAGGAGAGAGAGTATCCTAGCAGGATGGGGGTCACAAACCTCTGTGAAGGGATCACATCCACAGAATCACATACATCCTGACATTTGGCTGGACTCTCTTAGAGCAAGTCAGAGGCCCTGGCCACACTCAAAGGAAGGGGAGCTCACAAGAGCTGAATACTAGGAGATGGGGTTCATGGGGAGGCCACCCTAGAAGCTATCTTCCATAGAGGGGTTCTAGGGTAGAAATATGGGAGGGAGTTAAGAGTGTTTTTGCTATAGGGGAAGTGTTGACCCCAAAAGGAGGGCAGATTAAAGGGGATAGGGTGGGGAGTAGAGAACATGATCTCAGTTGGGAAACATTGAGTTTGAAGTACTTTTGAGATATCCAGACAGATATCACATGGTACTTACCTGAGCACGTGGAGCTGGTAGAAAATATAAATTAACAAATCACATTCGGATGAATGGTAATTCAAGCCAGGTGTGGATGAGATTGCCAAGGGACGGGGCGTGGAATGACGAGGGAACTCAAGATCAAGTCCTAAAGATCCCGTTAATTAATAGACAGGCAGAAGCAGCTGGGTCTGTGAAGGAGACAGAGATGGAGCAGCCAGAGACAGGAGTAAACCCAGGAGAGTGATGTGTCCCACAAACCAAAGGGAAAGAGGGGACAACAATGTCAGTGCTGCAGGGATTCATGTATGATGATGACTAAAAAGGTCAGTTCCAGGGCTGACCGAGTAGCTCAGTTGGTTAAGGGCGCAAGCTCTGAGCAACAGGGTCGCCAGTTCAATTCCCACATGGGCCAGTGAGCTGCGCCCAAGCTGAGCTGCCGCTGAGCTGCCAACAGGTGGCAGGATGGCTCAGCTGGTGAGAGCACATGCTCCTAACAATAAGGTTTATGGTTCGACTCCCGCATGGGATGGTGGGTTAC